CTCAGGAGCAACGAACATTTGTACGAGTGTTGAGAAAACGTTTTTGACGGTGAAAATCGACATTACAAGCTGTATGTTGCCGCTGAACCAAAGTTTTCCAACTTGTTGGGTCAATCAATTATGAAGATTTGATTAGTTTTTGTTTCAATCGGATTTTCTTTCTGTGGTTACACGTAATCTTTTTCAAACAGATTTTACTTGTTTTATGATCTTGCTGGAGAAATCAGGGGTTTCTATATCGCGCGTACGAGAGAGCATTACATAATTTCCTCGCGCGCATCCTTGCGACTCGCGTGTGAGCCTCGTCTTTCTTAACACTTTCTTGGCTCTTTACTGCGCATTCTCTCGACAAAATTGACCGCTGGTAAAGAGGAACGGATTCTCTATGTACGAGATTAAAAGAAAAGTTTAGTAGTTACCGCTCATTCTCGTTAAGTCAGGAGTGTACTGGCCCTCTCCGACAGATAAATTTATCCTGCTAACTGTCGTGGATTTTTTCGGAGATTAGTTGTGAGAAAATGGCGGTACATCAAGGTAACATCCCTTACTTGGCCAGTTTCTTCAGTTTAGTCTCTCGAGGTTGCTTGACAATTATTTGCAAGAGAAAATTGATGTTAGGGTAATTTAGATATAATTACTTTTGCAAGTTAACTAATCAGATCAGAAGCTAGTTTCATTAGTTGTTTTGCCAGGTATCAATACTGAGAGTGATTACTGGTTTATTGGATAATTTGTGGGTAATTAAGAGCGGTTGTTTGAAGTATTCTTTTTAATTGACGTTTCCCATTGTGTTTGTTGGTCAAGGTCATTTTGCTGGCTTTTTTGTTCCACACTGCTATTTCATCATCTTTTTTGCAGTTAAGAGCACCAAATAACCGCCCTTGGTTTTTGATTGGTTAATGAAAGTATTTTATACCGTATCAGCTTCTTCTCTGACATACGTTCTCTCCTGTGTGTTATTCCCGCCACAAAGGCGCCCGTGCCGCCCGAATAAAGACATCCGTTTCCTTATTTGGTCTTATAATGATAAAGAGTGTGTTAGTTGCTTGGAAACTGTTCGTAAATTAAAATAAATAAAGAGTAAAAGGATTTCCTGACAATATGTGAATAAATATCTGGGTTTTGTTTATTTGGAGTAATTCCACTCACATGAAGCGTTTGTTCCTCCGTTCGATTAATTTTCACCTTCGTAATTCTTAATTTGCTGGCACAATCTACTGACACAAAACGAGCGATATCACGATCCTGAGCAATGCTAATTAAGACGTCACCTTGGTCGTCTACCTATGGCAACTCCCAATTTCGTTGATTACAAGCAGCGTTAAACGTGAGTCTCCCTTAGCTGCCTGAGTCCCGTTCATATAACACCAGCAAAGATGCGAGCACGACGGCAACCTCCATCCATGATGGATTTATGTAATATCTTCAGAAAGAGGAACGAGTTCATGTTGAAATCAAACCAGCCTGGTTCAGAATTCGAAGCAACTCAGCATGACTCAAGCGACCCGTTTACAGCACCAACAGCAGCCAGAGAACGGGAATACAGCTGGGAAACTGATGAAACTAGGAGGAATCGGCCAATGCGCTTTGCAAATGACACGCAGCGTCCTACGGCACACGAATCAAGTATTTCTCATTCTTTCACGGAGATGGAAGAGAACTTTCTTTATCCTGAGATGTCGAGAAATCATCCACGGTTTTCTCCACCAGCGGAGTTTTACGAAAGCGATGCTGTCTTGAGTTCTTCGGATGAAGAATTTCATGCTTTTGATGACGGCAACGTTCGACCCGACCCATTCCAAAAACAACAAGTCCACCGAATGAAAACAAGAAATGCCAAACTGTACAGAGTGGCATGCTGCGCTGAAATGAGCCCAACACAAGGACCCAATGCACCGAGAAGAGATGCCACAGAGACCGAAATCTCTCCAGGTTATACGAATTCTCTACATCAAGCAAGCTGTTTAGCCAACCACGCAAACCCTCCAGGATTTTCACCGCACTATCAAGTCTATTTGCCCAACCAAGTTAAACCTCGAGGCAGCCAGCGATACCAATCAAGCTATCATTCAACTAACCGATCAAACTGTCGACGAGTTTTACACCACCGAGCAAATTCTTCACCTATCACAAACACTCGAGACTTCCACTCACTCCACCAAGTTCAAGACAAGAAGGGAAAACAGACCAGTCATCAAACCATCCGTTCGTCCGTATGCCTGCAGAAGCGGATGCAACGAGAAGAAACGAGCTCACCAGAAAGAAGAAACGTAGCCAGTAACAGAGCTGTAACAACCCTTCCACCAATACAACAGCGAATCAGAAACACGGCAGACCGTTCTCGCCAATCACGCCGGCCAGCAGAACAGCGAAATGAAGTCTTGTTATATGCCCGTCGATGCGGCCGACAAGAAGTTTGCGAAGTAAGGAATTCTGAATCCTGTAGGCGAAGGCGAATCGGAGTATGCAAAGAAACAGATACTTTTCAAGAGAATCGAACATGTGTCCGAGTGTTGGAGAAACGTTTTTAACGGTGAAAATTGCTATCCCCTTTGTAAACAAGTATCAGGGGTGGTGAGTGGTAAATGCGAGAATTTTTGAGAGACGCACATAACCGCTAGAAAACGTGAGTGGGAACCCCGTGAAATTCGACGAGAATTTTTCGAGAGCCATGTTCAGTTGAAGGACAATTAGCCACCCCTAAGTATCCAAAGTACGTAGCAGCAGATCTCAATTTTGCGATTGCAACTTCTTAAATCGTTTAAATTACGAGATTTGATTAGTTTTATTTCGAATCGGAATTTTCTTTTTGTGGCTTAATGTTATCAGTTTTGTACGGATTTTACTCGTTTTGTGTTCGTGATCGAGAAATCGTGTTTCTGAGTTCTCAGTGTGCGACAGCGATACGTTTTTGCGGTATTACACAATACCGTAATTAATATACCCCTTCCAGTTTAAATTTTCATTGTGCCTGAAGAATTAAAATCTGGTTTCGCCAGGCGAAATATAGTACACAAAGTTTTAAAGTCAACTCGCGTTGCATCGGTCCCTGCTTCAGTATATATTCGTTTATCAGTAGCTTCTTTATAGAGTTTCACAACTCCCCACGCACAATCCGTGCGACTCGCGCGTTCCTCGTGGTCCTTTTTGATCTCTTACACGTGATATTTTATGGGTTAAATCAAGATAATTACTCTCAGTTCATATCTTCATCTATCATATTAATGGGAAGTTACATCAGTTTTTACTAAACAGAAGCCGAAAGTGGAGACGAACCTCTAGATTCTCAATAGATATAATAGTGATACTCGTTCCTTAATTTAAAAAAATAAGAAAAGAAAAGAAAAAACAAGTTAAAACGTGTTTCATTTAAAAATCAAAGTTGGCGTGACAATTTTCCAAGACTATCCCTGATTTAATATTCTTATGTATTTCTCATAAAGGTAATCACGCCGGCAAAATCGACGAAGTATGTCATGGTTACTTGGAATGGCAATTACGAAGGCAAATTTAAACTTGGTTATTCTGTGTTTCTAATTTTTCTTTACTTATTCTGTAGAGAGAGGTTTGAAGTGTTAGTCCACCGTGCTCATTTATGACAAAACAGCCATTCATCTATCAGACCAAGTTACCGTAAAACGTAGTATCATTAGACTTGTTATACGTTTGTAACTTAAGTACACAATTAAAAGATATTAGCGAAAATAATTGTTTCCTGATCTCTTCATACTTAATACAGTCGCACTCCCGGCTGCGACCACCTCTCCTCGGCGACTAGGTTTTTAAAATACCAAAAGTTTCCCAGTCAGATCACTATATTTGGAACCTCTTGTTAGCGACCACCTTTTGTAAGCGACCGCGACCACTTTTAGAGCTAAAAGTTTGAAATTTTCTTTTGTTTTTAACCTCCTCTAAGCCATGGTTAGTACAAGAAACGGAAATTTCTCAATGGGAAGAACCGGATTTTTTTTCTGGAAATTAACTTTTCACACGAATATATAAAACATTGCATCGGCATTGGCGCATGGGGCAAGTCTCTGCAGTTACAAAAAGCCAATGAGGCAAAATTTTGACTCAATATGGTCTTAAGTCTCGTAAGCGACCACCTCCCGTAAGCGACCACATAGGCTTGACATTTTGGGTGGTCGCTTACATGAGGTTCGACTGTAGTTTCGAATAAAGATTTTCTTATAACTCTTATTGATTTTGACCAATAGCGTGCAAGCGAAGTTCTGTCACGTGACTTAGGATGATAAAATCACGTGACAAAATGTCCAGGTTGATGGCATGTATTCATTGCAGCGATTCCATTTCTGTGTTTGTCGTTTATTCTTCCGGCGATTTCGTCATAGGCGATGGTAGTCCAACTAATTGATTTAGTTTTTGTTCGTTTTCTTACAAAGCAGGCATGGGAGAGTATTTGAGCGCACGGTTTTCAACGAATTTGTATCAATAGAGGAAAGGCGACAAAGCATTTTACCCACTAACTGGCCGACCAAACCATCCTTTATAATCTCAATATAACAATGCAAATCATCCTCGCATTTTGATTGGTTCTTACTTACGATCTATAGATTGGAGGACATTATTTAACATGTTGCCGCACGTCTGTTCTGTGAAAATCACAGATGACTTCAAAATTGCGTAAGAACTTACCACATTTTGTCGTCATCTGTGATCTATTTTCAATTTTAAGTAATAAATTTCAAATAAATAAATTTAACGTGGTCAAATGGGCTTAGCTAGCCTAAATAGCTACTTTACAGACATTACAGGTCTATTCGTCTTTCCTCATTTCAAGAAGACAGTACAGGGGCGTCGCGAATTTCTTCAGACAACCCCAACTTGAAAAAACACTGAGGGTTATATAACTAACAATCCGAGTCTAAACCGTGTTCATGGATGCAAAAGATATGTAGAGATGGGGAGTTTCTTGATCCTTGATGGAACTTGTAGCATGCAGAGGGATGCAGGTTCAAAGTTCGCGCAGCATGACGGGTTTTGTGAAAGCGAGGCTCCAAAGCTTGTATGTATGTGGCAAAATGTCGTGAACCTGTAAATGGCTGATAGCGGTCGCGAAGAAAAGCTGGCTGCGGCCAGAAAAAAGGTGCGACAACTTTGTTATTGCTTTAATTCGTAAAGAAAATTCATTTTAGTCTAGTATGAGGCCATCTGATTTTACTATTGTACGTTCTAGTTGAAGAGATTTCAACAAAAGCGGACCCCTTCCTCGAGTCCAGTTGTGAAAGATGTGAAACATAGAGCAGATTGTTCTTCGATTTACTCGCCGAGTTCATCAGAGTCTGAAGGAATCCCCTCAACAGCAGAAAACACTGTTAGTATTCAGTTATTTTTGTGTCTATTTCAAGTGTTAATGTAAAGCTGCCGCAATTTTTAAGTCTCAATCACGAAGAGTATGTTGTAGTGTTTGGGTCTTTAGCGACAAGATTATAAGCTAATGTGTACACACGTTCAATATTCTCCAAGAGCTAAGATTAAATCGCCCAGCCTTCATAATTGCTGCTTATCCCAGCAGAGGGTATGTGTGTTAGTTGATGTTAGTTTTGTTCCTGTTACAGATGGATGGCTTTTATTGCAGAACTTGATAGTTTTATTCATTGTTTATATTCATCCTCAGCTGATTTCATTAGTTCGTATTGTAGGACGATTTGGCGAATCCTGGTTGGCTTACCTATTCGCGGCTCAGACTTTCGCTGAAACCTGATCTAGTGTCGGGAAATTAGTTTTTTTTTACTTCTTTGGAGCATATTAAACGAAATTCTTAAATTTTACTCCTGTTTTTTCACTTGAGGGTTTCGAAATACTTTTGTTTATGATCCATTGCCCCAAGTGATCGCGCATAAATGATAGGTATTTTAATTTATTTGTGGCAAATTCAAGCAATTTTTTTTAAGTTTCTGTTTAAAATGCTGTTGCATTAAAATGAAATTGTAGGGTTGGTAAAACTAGTAAAAAGTGATGTATGACAGTTACCATAACATTAATTAGCCAGCAATTTGTTCAGTTGTGATTCATACATATATGGTCTTCTATTGTCTTTTAAGGATCTTACTTGCAAACAGTATTATGTCCTACTATGAAAAGCATTGCCAAGCAGATTGGTGATGAATAAAATGATTAATTATCTAGAGAGGATGGTAAATGGTTCTTCTAAAAGTATACATCTC